TACAAATTATTTATTTATTTTTAAATGAGGTTTATGTAAAGAAAAATTCTAAACCTTTACACTGATGTAACATTAAAAGAGTCACTCCTTCAAAACAGCGGTGCCGCCTTTTAGGGGAAAACAAGCAGTGCAAAATGTTGGTGTCAATGTAAAAGTAAATTGTGATTTTCTTTGTCAGCAAAATTGCAGAAGACCAAGGTTTATTTTTAGACTCTGATTGCACCCACTTAGAGGGAGTAGGTAATTTGCTATACTTTCTCCTGAATATCTCATTCCTGGAAGGTTGAACAAAATAGTGGCATGCTGTCCATATATGAAACCTTTTATAACTGTATTTTAATAACAGTTTATTATAAAAATGTCTAATTATATAAATATTCATCAAATTGTGTTTGAATGAGCTGCTGTACAGTTTTTGAGTTGTTTTAATATGTCAAAAATCCACTTTACAACTGACCTTGCTCAACTACTCATTATTCGGACTACTCTATGAGAACCTCTGCATAATATCCCATACTGACATAATCCTGAGCAATTTTTAATGAAGTACATAGTATTTGTAACAACATGACAGAGCACAACTTCAAAAAGCTGAACCATCACTTTAAATACAGTGCGAGAAAATGAGCTGAGTTAGATTCCACTATTGCCGACAAAGACATGAAGAAACAGAACAAAAACAGAGAGAGGAATGAAGTGAGTGATGGGGATCTGGCTTACACCACTGCTCCAAATGCTCTTGTCAATGGTAGTTGCAGGAGTATTGGGAGAGGTAGGGGTAGTGGAATTAAACCTGAAATAGTCAGTGAAAAAGTGAAAGGTAGTGCTAGGTGCTGATGTTGGACAGGTGTAATTTAAATCGACGTCATTGCCTGGAGAGATAAAGGTAATGAAGCCTGGTTGCATGCCGGTAACTTTGTCGCTGATCCATTTCTGATACTGGGACACACGGGTGTAGATAGTCGGTCTGTGCAGCCAGTAGAAATTTTGACTTACAATACCACTCTGGACCCAGATGAAGTCCTTTTTTGTTACAAGTGCAGCCCCCAAGTCTCCCTGTGAACAAAAGTTTAACATCGTTAATGTGTGAACACCTTGCGGATCAGTGGGCATCAAACATTTGGAGTCAAGGTCCAGCGATGAGCATTTATAATCAAATTAAGTTAATATACAGGTGTATATACAGTGTATATATATATATATATATA